TGTGTGTGTGTTCAACATGACCATCCTAGTGGGTGTGAATCAGGTAAGTAGCTCCTTGTGGTTTGATTTGCATTTCCCTGATGATTAATATTCTTTAAAGATGTTGAGCGTCTTTTCATGTGCTTAGCGGCCATTTGTAGATCTTTGGAGAAATGTTTGTTTCAGTCCTTTCCCCATTTTTGAATTGGGTTGTCTTTTTGTTGTTGACTTGTACCAATTTTCTTTTAATAAGATAACAAGCAGTTTACTGTGGTGCTAAGTAAAAATTTTACTATTCTTTACATGGAGTCAATTTATTAAATACTTTATTTAACTCTTCATTTATTGTTGAATGTTTGGGTTGATTGTGGCTTTTGCTGTTACTAATAACTTCTCGAATAATTTCTGTGGCTCTTTTTCCCCTCAGGCCAGGTCAAAGAATATGAAAATGTTTGTAGGTCTGGCCAGTTTTCCTGAAGGGAGTGCATCTTTACAGAACCTTCAGTGATTCAAGGGTGTCCTTGTTTCATTGCAAACTTGAGGTGTATGTCATTTTGTAGGGTAGGATTGTCCAATAAGTGTAAAATAGCCCTTTGTTATTACTTTTGTTTTTTTGTTTGTTTGTTTGTTTGTTTTTGATTCCTAGTAATGTGAACATTTGTGAACTCTGAGTCCTTTGGAAGGGTCCTTGGGTATGAGCACGTGAGGGTGAGCCAGGTGGGCAAGGAGGAGGGGGCGGGCTTGAGCTGTCACCTAAGCCTTGTGTCTCTGTTTCAGGCACCATCATGACTCCAAGCGGAGGAGAGCCGATGAATTTCGGCCTCAAAATTACCACCAGCAGGATTTCCGACGAATGTCTGATCACCGCCCCCCTGTGGGCTACCATGGCCAGGGACCCTCGGACCATTACCGCTCTTTCCACACAGACAAACTGGGGGAGTATAAACAACCCCTGCCCCCCCTGCACCCCGCCGTCTCAGACCCTCGCTCGCCCCCTTCTCAGAAATCCCCCCACGATTCCAAGTCACCCCTGGATCACAGGTCTCCTTTGGAGAGATCACTAGAACAGAAAAACAACCCAGATTATAACTGGAATGTTCGGAAAACATAAAGGACAGCTGGGAATGAAGGGAGAGCAAGAGTCATTAAGCACCTGGATATTTTTGGTCTGATCCAGTAGGAGCCAGTTATCTAGACCAGTGAGTGGAGTTTCTGGACATGCTGCTGCTGTCAGCTCGCCGGTGGAAGGAGCACCTCAAGGAGCGGGGGCCTTTCACTTGGTCCAGCTTGGGTTTGGGTCGCCACTCCTGCACTTTGACACCCCCTCCCATTCCAGCCTGGTCCTGGCCTCCCACTGCGAGGAGTGCTAGGAGGAAGACGTGACTTTTGCGTCCCAGCTTCGTGGGCTGTGTTTCCCCAGTGAAGGAAGAAGGGATCTCAGAGTCACGAGGATTTTGTTGCTGGGTCCGTGTGCTCTGGGCCCATGTGCAGTGGGCTGGGAAGGAGCGTGTGTGTGAAGGTTGACGGGACCTGCTGGGCCGCGCGTGATCTGCTTCACTGTGATGTGACGGATGCTGCTGACGGGGCGGGGCGTGGGTGTCGCCTCGTAAGACTTGAAGGGGAGCAGGTACACTCCTCACATGTGTTCTTGGGAGAACCATACACTTGGGCCTCCTTGTGATGCCTTTGGTGCAGGGGCTGGTGGGGAGCAGCTTCCACAGTGGCCCCTTCCCTACAACACTAACCTTTCCCACACTATCTGGACATTTGAGAGGTTCGGTCTTCTGAGTGGGTCTCCTTTGCCCTGGTCCAGGGGAGAGTCGGGCCCATCTGGCTGACTTGTGCGTACTGTGAGTTTTCGGCAGCGTTGGAGCTGGCGTGGGTCTTCCTTGGCTGGGAGTGGGGTGAGAGAGGGGCTAGAGGGGCGGTGTGGCCAGGGACCCGGAATCCCCGGTGGGGTTCTGATTCCTGGGATGAGCAGTCTGAGGGCAGGGCCTGGAGAGGAGGGGAAGCTTGCTGCAAGCGCGAACCCAGGCAGGGGTGTGGGTGGCAGGCATGCTTCCCGGGGGAGGGGGGGGGGGGGGGCTTCAGTGTTGCGCCAGGTCAGCGTTTGCAGCCACGCTCGTTACTTCAGTTCCCTTCTCACAGCTTGAAGAAGTAGACTGCACAGAACATGCAACTCCTGACCCACAGGGCGGGTGGACAGATGAAGTCTGGGTCCCTGTTGGGAACAGGCTCCCACTCCCAGTCGGAGATCGTTAGAATTGAACTCCATTGTTTTTAGAATGAGATCAAATAAGGCGTACACCTAAGGTAAAGTTTTTCCAAAATAGGAAGCCTCCAAGGACAGGGGACTGAGCTGCAGACAGTAAGAGTCCTACTCGGGTTGAACAGAGTCAGAAGTGGGAAGGCGAGTCAGTTGTACCATTAATCAGGCTCCTTTCATTTTACATTTTACGGATACTGGGCCTTCCATTTTATTCCCTTTAAATATAGCTTGCCAGTATTGTTTGACTGTCCAAAGGCCTTTCTAGGTGGAATAACTGACTTGAACCTACACTGTGCCTATATGCGTCCAGGCTCAGAGCTGGTGACCACCTTTCCATTGGGTGTGCACAGGGTTAAACTCCCTGAACTGACCTGTGAGGACTTCATAAAACTGTTATCACTTACTTGCTGGTAACCTGGGCAGCACCATTATTGCCTTTACTGAGAAATTCCCAAGTCAGCTCGCCCTAGGGAAGCAGATGTGGCTTTGGTGGGTCATCGCACGCAGCCTCGTGGGGCTGGCCGGGCGTGAGTTCCACATGAGAGTCTGGGTCCTCACAGCTTATGTTGGGAGCTTAGTAGGTCTGCCCCTTCCTTATTTATCTCCTCTCGGGACTGGGATTGTTCACCGTGGGCTCGTATCCGGTGAACATGCCCTGGACCACGGCCCAAAGAATGCCTGGGAGCCTCTGGCCACAGCCACTCCACTGGGCACATGCTGTGACTGCTTGGGAGAGAAGAGGGTGTCTGCTGTGGCCTCCACCAGCTTAACTTCTTGCTGACACTACCCTGTGTCTTTCTTGCCCAGGCCAAAGAGGAGGGCTAGGTTGGCTTGTCCCTTCCTGTGGTGGGAGGAAGGGAGGGAGGGATGAGCCCCAGGATGTCTTCCCCTGTGGGAGGGAAGTCAGGCTGTGTCCCCTGGGAAGCCAGGAAAGTCACTGGAGGCCCTGTGTTTCAATACTCATCAGGGTTTTTTTTTCCTCTGAAGTTGATAGGAGATGTGAGTTATTCCCAAAGATGTCTCATCATGAAGAAAAAGGAACTTCCTTTTGTTTACATTCAGGACTTACTGTGCCATATGATGTAGCAAAAGGCAATATTAGCCAGATCAGTGTTAAATTGATTATAAAATTACAGTATCCCCATAAAAGCATCTATTGTAGGTATTGAGGTATGTTTAAAGAGTCAGGAAAAAGGAGGCATTTCCTCACTGACCTAAATCAGTATGAATATTGTATGCTTTTATCAAAAACAGATTTGCACAGATAGGAATTCTCTCCCTTGTGGATAGGATAAAGTACCCCAGGAACCTGTGAGGGTGATATCACAGAGCCTAGCTTTGAAAGATTCAGTAATTGGGTGGAGACTGCAGGGGTGGAGGAAGAGGGGAGTTGGCATCACCTGAAGTCTGAGTGTGGAACAAGGGTTAGCATGGTATCCCACAGCCCTGGGAAGGGGTGCGGTGAGAGCCCCAGGCATCACTGCGGTCTTTCGGAGATGCTGGAGAGAAGCCGCCAGGCCCTCTGCAGAGCCCCATCTTACGGCCCCTGGTCCCCCTCTCTCCTAGTCCTTGCGTTGGCCCTGTCATGGGAAGCCAGAACACTTCTCGCATCGTGCTGCAGGCACTCTAGCCTGATGGCTGAGAGCTATATCAGGATGTGTGGTGCACACGCGATTCGGTTACGAATTCACATGGGGACACTGGAATCCTACAGACCAAAATCCACTCGTCAGCAGGAATGGTGGCCCGGGGCCCAGCACTGGTGGTCTTCCGGGCTCGTCTGAGGGCCGCAGTGTCAGGCGGAGAGAGCCAGGCCAAGGGTCCAGGCTGCTTTAGTCCATCTGACCCCACTCGTTGGGGGACAGATGGTTTTTCTTTATTGTAAAATTGTGGACTTTTCAAACCTGTTGACTAAACAGTAATTAATTTATATTTGTGAAAAATGCCACTGTCCTAGTGATTTCTGATGTAAATAATGTTGTTTATATAGTATGTATTAAATTTTCCTACATTGTATAACTGCTGTACTTTTGATTCTTGTATATTAAACAGTGTTACTAAGGATTTTTAGAATTGGGCGGACACGTTGCGTTGCGTTGCATCGGCGTGAAACGTGACCAGATACGCGTCCAGCTCCCTTCCCCCGGCTGCCGGGTCATTTGGCCTGTTCGACAGCTTGTGAAATGGAGCCTTTTGAAGTCGCAGTGTTCTTCCTACCAGCACCAGCGTGTTGCTGGGTCTAGGACCCTCACACACAGGTTCCGGAGGTTTTCCCTGCGTGGCCACTGCCAAGGGTAGTGGTCCCTGGCTGGGCAGCTCCCCGCATCTGACGGAATTACCCGGACCAGTGACAGTCCCTGGTGGAGCAGAGCGGCCCACCCTTTCCCACGTTGGTTGGCCGGAGAAGGAGCCCTGGAGACCTGGAAGGTGCATTTTGAAGACCTGTGTCATCCAGACAGGGTCCTGTAGCTCCTCTTCCATCCAGAGGAAGTGAAAACACAGCGTCTGCCAGTCCACAGCAGTGAGGGTGATTTAACAGTTGGGTTATATATTCATGAAGAGGGAAAAAGGCATTTTATAATGGAAACACTGACATGAATGTTAACTCTAGCAATTTGGCACAGGGGCAGGCCCGGCTCCTACGAGGCCCAGACAGGAGGGGTGGCCCAGCCCTCGGGTGGAGATCCCGTCTGAGTAGGAGCTGGAGAAGGTTGCCAGACCCAAGGGGTTTTGCTAATGCTTAGGGGGATTTCAAAACCAAACTCCTAGTCTTCTCGAACCTCCTTATTCTTGATACCCAATAAACCCATAACGTTCGCTCAGTTAACTCCCCGGTTGGGACTCTCAACCCGGGAGACCCGGCCGTGGGGGCCCTCCCTCAGCCTGTCCTGTGCGGGAGGGAGAGGCTGGGATATTTGGTGCACAAGAGTTCTTGAGTCCAAGACTCAAAAGAAGAGTTGAGGGCTCCTCCTGCCGATAAACAACTCAACAATCGTGTTGCAACTCACAGCTCGGCTGGAACATCTTTGGGAAACTTTTAAGAACAAGCACTGCAATAATCAGCTCAGGATTTACAATAGCAACGCGGCTTCTACACCGACCGCTGCCAAGAAGCCTGCCTTTTACTGGAAGAAGCAGGCGCAAGGCCCCCTCCCTCCTCCCTGGCGGGGCCTCAAGTGTCTGGCATGAAGGCAAGCCCTCCTCAATTAGCACCGACTGAAAGGTCACTTACTGAAACACAAGGCCCCGTGGTTTGCCAGACCAGTCTGGACTCCGGATGCTGACCTGTGGCTCTTTAAAGGAGCAGGACCGGGTTTGCCACCAGAGGCTGTGCCTTCGCTGTGTCGGCGTCCCCCCAACCCCCTGCCCGTCACATTTTGAGGCTGGAATGCCACTCAGCCCGTCGCCTCCCAACCTGCCTCCGCTGTCTGTTCTGCTAGGTGATTTGGGAAAGGGACAGAGCCCGAGTGAATAAAAGCTCTTCATCCCGTAGAAACCTGGGCCCTCTTGGTGCATGGGGCACCCTGTCCCAGGCTTGACGTCTGGGAGTTTCCCGGTCAGTTCTGTGGCCATGTGATCTGGCCTTGTGTGGGAACATGACACATCTGCCCTACAGGCAGCCTTCTCACCTCAGAAACAGGGTTATCTACTTCTTGGGGCCAGCTGCCTCATGGAGTGTTCGCACACGGTATCTTCCTAAATTTTGTGTGCGTGTGTGACCCCAAAGGGGGCTGTCCTTGCTGAAACTCAGTCCTTGCCGATCACGTGCACCATGGTGGCTTTGGCGGGGGGAGAGGGGACCTCGATGGTCTAAAGGGGCTGGCAGGAAGGTCAGTGTGTTGTCTCCGTGGGGGCCCCGCCCTGTGTGCAGCTGGGCAGATGGCCTCCGCATCCACATCCTCATTTGCACACCAGGAAGGCAGCTTCTAGCCGTGAGAAGCTCACACAGTGGAAAAGGGGAAGGTTTGTAAACCCTTAAAGCTGCCCAGAGGGACACAGTGCTCATCAGTCCCTGCTGGGAGGTGGGGGAAGATGGGGACACCGTGGAGGGCACTTGCTGGGCAGACCCAGCTTAGCATTCTGCCCCAGCAGCCGTCAGCCCAGGACCAGCTCATCAGAGGGGCCCAGGAAGAGGCCTTGCTCTAGGGGGAGACTGGACCCCAATAGCAAGGCCCTGCAGGGAGCTCACAGTCCGATGGGGATGGGACAGTCACTAGAGAGAAAGTTTGTCCCTCGACCAAGATCTTGAGCATCTCCTGTGGGCCAGGCCCTGTTCTAAAAGGTGGGGACGCATGCAGAGTGAAGCAGGATGAGGGCCCCGCCCTCTTCAACGGAGAGGTGGTGAGGCACACCTAGACCAACAATAAGAGGACAAAATGTCACTTCAGTGCCGGGACATGGGAGCAGGAACAGGTGGTGGTAGCGGAGCCCAGAGGAGGCGGGGAAGGCGTGCGTGTAGGAAGTGGGCAGAGCTGGGTCTGAACCAACTGGCATTCTTGGGCTTACTCTCTAGCTCTCTGAGCCTCCCTGTTGGAGAATACCAGCCTGTGGGGGGGTGAGGGAGACGGCTTGGTGGCCATCATCAGTGTCGGAGGGCGGCCTTGGAACATCCTGAGGCTCCTCAGAGACCCCTCATGCCACCAGACCTGGGGCCCGAGTTGTATTTGGAAAGTGAGCGGTAGTTCCCCGTTCATTCCCTGACCGAGGGTCCTGAGTGAATGTGGTTCTAGAATCTTCCTGCAGGGGGCAGAAGATTTCCACAAACAGCCTGCCTCACTGCCAACACCTACATTTACAGAACCCCCCCTGGGGAGGCTTACCGTCGTTTCTCCGCCCTGGCGGGCCGCCTCCCTTGGCTGCGGAACCCACGCTGGAGCCAGAGACGTGGAGCCACCTCATCCCGGCAGGAAGCGTGACAGGGGATGGGGAAGAGGAGAGGCTGCAGGAAGAAGCCAGCCTCACCTGCTCCACAAGCAGGGGGCAGTGCTGGCCAGTGGCGGCCTAGGCCTCTCAGCCAGCACGGTGGGCTCTCTCCCCACCAGCCAGCCCCGAATGTACTGACACGTCCAGCGATTGTTCCGGGATACACAGGCTCCTTCCTGCCCCTTCCGGGTCCAGCCTCTCCTCCCCCACCCCTCCGTGCGGCCGCCAGAGGGACGTCCTGAGCTGCAAGGCCCAGGCATCACTCTGCTGCTCCCTGTGTGTAACCTTCACCTTAGCCGCAAGCTCCCTGGCTTGGGTCCGAAGCCCTCTACGACCTGCCCTTGCTGGCCACTCGGAATGTCCCCGTCTCTTGGAGCCCCCTGCCCGCCGCCAGCCAAACCTTCAGGGAGCTGAATCTAAAAGGGTGATAGCCAGAGCGGGTAGTAAGGAGAGGCAGTTCACCAGCCACCGTGGTACTGTTTCAGTGGGGCAGGGTCTGGGTTGGCTCTGCTGGGGCAGGGGGCTGGCTCCATGGCCCCAGCTGCCTTAGCCCAGGCCCTGGCCGGGGACTCTGTGCAGCGGGCAGAAGGGTGACGAGGCAGGAAGGTGTGAAGGTGGCGGCAGCAGGCGCAAAGCCGAGTGGGCTCACACAAGAGGGACCTCAGTCCCAGCCAGGAGACCCAGGGCCCCGGCGGCAGCTGAGCTGAGAGCATGGGCTCCGGAGACACCGTCCACCTTCAAGTCAGGGTTCACCCCCCATCCCGTCCACCCCGACTGTCACGAGCTGGGCCAGGTGTTAACCTTCAGAGGGAATAGTTCCACCCAAACCTGATGGGGGAGCAGTGCCTGGCACGTGCTAAGGACAGTGCAAGGTGGACCATCATTACTGTGGCCAACTCCTTGAGGCTCGGGGTCCTTGGCGTGGCCCCGCCTAAGCCTGGTAACCTGTCCTGGGGTCAAGCCCACACCCTGCCCCTCCCTGCCCCCGAGAGCCTAGAGATGAAGCCTCTGTGGGCCTCCCTGGCTCCTCTTCCCACATTTGGGAAGAGGCCCCACCACAGAGCCTGTGGGCCTCCTCTGAGCCCCATCCCACACGTCACTGTGTCTCCACTGCCCCAGAGCGTTCTTTCCTTCCCTGAAATCCTCTCTGAGGCCTGCTCTGCCAGCGGGTACAAATAGTAATCAGATTAGCTAATTCCCTCTGGACTGCACACTGGCTTGGTGTTTCCCAAACTTGGGGCCTACAGACGTATGATGGGGCGGATCGTTCTTAGAGATACCTGGAAGAATTTAAAATTTTTCTGTTTTCCTTTTGATGAACATTTACAAAAAATACTTAGAGAGAGAGAGAGCTCGAACAGGGGGACGGGCCGAGAGAGAGAGAGAGAGAGAGAGGGCTCAGTGCAGAGCCGGATGTGGGGCTCGATCCCATGACCATGAGATCATGACCTGCTGAAACCAAGAGTCAACGCTTAACCAACTGAGCCACCCAGGTGGCCTTTGGTGAACACTTTAAAGAATTAATCTAAGCGAATCCTGGATGATCTGGAAGAATGGGGAGAAGAAAGGAACCCAGGACTCTGGTGTTACATTGGCACAAAGCAGTCAGTGCTACTTACCCAGGTGGACAGGGGGACACAAGGCAACAAGTTCGACGGCGTCTGAAGAGTGATAAGAAGGCGGGGTCCGGAGTCACTGCCTGGCAGCGATGACAGGGGCCGGACAACCCCACCTTCGTCACACGAAGAGGGCCCACTCGGCGTCAGCAAAACAGCGTCATTCATCACTGCAATTTAATGCGATTTGTTTGCGTTTGGTTTGGGCTTGATTGGTAAGTGTGTCTGGATTTATAGTTGAAAGGAGCTATAATTACAATTTATTACAATTAAGAATTTATACCTAGCCTCATGAATTATAAAAACTCCAGCCATGGGGGGACTGGAGAAACACTGGCTCCCGGAAGGGGTCTGCATGTCATGTATGTTTGGGGACCTTGAGCTGTTTGTGACCTGAACTTAAGAGTAAATGAAGCAGCCCCATGGGATGTGCCTGTGAGAGCAAAAGCCACCGTCTGCAGCTGGCTACTGGGTGTCAGGCTCCAGGCCCTTTGCTTGATTGTATTTTTTTAATGTTTATTTATTTTAGAG